ACCTAATAATCATAAGCTATAATATAACTAATAATATATGTTGTATATATTGTTTTTTTAAATTAGCTTAGTCAATATTCAGTTACTTGAAATAAGGATTTACGCCTTTCTATTACCTTTCTATTAGGCAAATTCTATGCTTCTCTATTTGTATATATTGAGAACAATGAGAATGAAATCTTTGAGGAAAATGTTTTATTATGGTATCAGAGCGACTAGGGCAAAATCTCGTTCCATTTCCTTCTCTTATCTTCCGCAAAGCGCCCTAGCTGTCTTTTTCATCTTCTTCTTCTCTATCTTGCTGCCATGTCTGGTAACAAGAACTCTTTTCATCCGGCTCTTGCGGTGTCTAACATCCGCAACCACATCTCCATCACTCTTGAAATGGAGAATGTTCAATATTCAACATGGGCAGAACTCTTTAAAATTACTGCACGATCTCATAAGGTTCTTCATCATATCATTCCTCCTACCAACATGAAGGCCCCAACTACTGCAGAAGAAAAGGAACTATGGTCGACCCTTGATGCAACGGTTCTTTCATGGATATATGCTACGATCTCTAATGATCTATTGCACACCATCATCGAACCTGATGCTACGACCATGGAAGCTTGGAATAGGCTATGTGACATTTTCCAAGACAACAAGAACTCCTATGTGGTAACTCTAGAAGTCGAGTTCTCCAACACTAGAATGGAGAATTTTCCTAATGTTTCGGCTTATTGCCAATGACTCAAGTCAATTGCCGATCAATTGAAGAATGTTGGTGCACCGGTGTCGGAAAGTCGTCTAGTTATTCAATTGGTTTCAGGACTAACCAGAGCATACATGGGTGTCAACACTTTGATCCGAAAAAGTGATCCATTGCCTCTCTTCTATCAGGCCAGATCTATGCTAAATCTTGAAGAGGCTGGTTTTGCTAAGGAGGCTGCAACAGGATCTGATTCTGCCATGATTGCCTCATCTCAATCTGAAGACTCTTTTGTTACCAAGTCAAAATCGGAAAACACACAAAACCGGAGGAAACAAACTGGAAATCGAAAATCATCCAAGAAATCTGGCAGCAATAGTGGAGGTCGGGGTCAAAGTAGTAATGGTGGCCGCCGGTTTCCTCAGTAACACCAACAAAGCTTTGTTCCTTGGAGTCCACAGCAACAATGGGGGTACAATCTGTGGGGTTGGTTTCCTCAGTGGGCTTCCCCACCTTGCCCATATCCAACACAAGGATGGGCTCATGGGCTAACACCTAGTAAACGACAACAAAATGGTATTCTTGGGCCACGTCCACAGCACCACCATCAGGCCTTTATGACTTCACAAAATGACCAGTCATCATCATATGCTCCAACAAATATTGAAGCAGCCATGCACACGATGTCTATTAATCCACCTTATTCAACTTGGTTCATGGACACTGGTGCTATGTCACACATGACATCTTCCAATGGTAATTTCTCTTCTTATTTTAATTTGAGCAATCATCATAATGGCATTGTTGATGGAAATGGTCATACCATTCCAATCTGTGGTTATGGACACACTTCATTACCATCTACTAACCCCCTTTATCTCTAAAAAAATGTTCTCCGTGCTCCCGGACTTATTAAAAATCTTATTTCGGTTCGGAAGTTTACGAATGATAATTTTGTTAGTGTTGAATTTGATCCGTTTGGGTTTTTTGTGAAGGATTTTCAGATAGGGGGGCAAATAATGAGATGTGACACCCGGGGTGATCTTTATCCTATTTCTACTTCAACAAACAATCCAACTCAAACTTTCGCCTTTACAACCGGCTCTTCTTCTCTTTGGCATGATTGTCTAGGTTACCCGGGTTCTCAAGTTATGGATATTCTTACGCACAATAAAAGCATTGATAGTAATCATCTATCTACTTCTAGAATTTGTCGTTCATGTGTTCTTGGTAAACATATTAAGTTACCTTTTGTTTCTTCGAATTCGAATACTACTATGCCTTTTGATATTATTCATAGTGATCTTTGGACGTCTCCCACCTTGAGTTTTATGGGGCATAAATATTATGTTTTGTTCTTAGACGATTATTCGAATTTTTATGGATTTTTCCATTAGCCAAAAAATCTGATGTCTTTGACATATTCTTAAGATTTAAAGCTCACATTTTCACCCAATTTGAACGCACTATTAAAAACATACAATGTGATAATGGGAGAGATTTTGATAATGGTTAATTTAGGGATTATTGTAAAGCTCATGGCATGTCGTTACGTCTTTCTTGCCCTTATACCTCTTCTCAAAATGGTAAAGCGGAAAGAAAAATACGTTCCATCAATAATGTCACCCATACTCTTTTAACTCATGCCGCGCTTCATCCTTCTTTTTGGCACCACAGTTTGCAAATGGCGACTTACCTTCTAAATATTCTTCCAACTAAGCTTTTGGGCAATGTGGCACCTCTTCAAATATTATACCAAAGGGTGCCTTCATATTCTCACATTCGAGTTTTTGGATGTTTGTGTTATCCTCTAATCCCATCTACCACTATAAATAAATAACCAAGATCCACTCCATACGTATTTTTGGGTTATCCTTCAAATCATCGTGGATATAAATGTTACGATATGTCTTCAAATAAAATTATTATTTGTCGACATGTTTTATTTGATGAGAATGTGTTTTCATTTGCAAAAGTGAATACTACTTCTTCTTCCACGTATGATTTTTTATGTGATGATATTTCACCATATACAATACATCACATGCAAAACCTCGCTGCTTCTAATCAACCACAAATAACAACAAAATTCAGCCCACCAAGATTCTCATTCCTCACCATCCAATCAAAATACCCCATCTTCACAATTAAATCATGACCCACTTCCAACAAGTCCACCTGTTTCACCTACTCCTAATACATCATCTCATATAATAAACAATCCTTCTTTTCCCACTCCACGTCCTACAATGGTTACAAGAAGCCAAATGGGTGTTTTTAAGCCAAACAAAAAATATCATAATCACGCTTTGGCTGCCACTGTGTCTCGTTCACCCTTACCCCGTAACCCAGTTGCAGTCCTTCATGATCCGAATTGGTATAAGCGATTTGTAGATTATGTTCTTTCTCTTGGTTTCACTAATAACAAATGTGATAACTCTTTATTTATCTATCACAACGGCTCTAACATGCCTTATATCTTATTATACGTGGATGACATTATTCTCACGGCTTCGTCTGATGGTCTCCAGTTATCTATCATGGCTTTTCTTAGCTCGGAGTTTGCCATGAAAGATCTTGGGCCTTTAAATTACTTTCTTGGCATTTCTGTATCTCGGCATAAGGAGGGTATGTTTCTTTCACAATGCAAGTATGCCGAGCAAATAATTGAGCGGGCAGGCATGTCTTCTTGCAAGCCTTCTCTTACACCCGTTGACACAAAACAAA